TCAAACTATCTGGTCTGTCTGCACAGGAGCTCCAGGTATTTTCCTGAATAAGCATTTCTGCACAAGCAACATGCAGAAATAAATATACAGTACTGTATATATTCATGAATGTCTTCAGTTGGGGTTTTTTGTTTTTCAGGAACTTTGCAAAGAGCTTCACCGCAAGATTGATGCTGTTGATGAGGCTCGATATGATCTTGAAATTAAAGTGGCTAAAAATGAAATAGAGGTAATGGTTTTGTGATGTTTTGTGACCACTTTTACAAAGACAAACGAATGATTTAGTAGTTTATTCATGAATACAAATGTTACCAAGTGTTAAGATCCCACGGTTCTACTAAATAAAGCATTAAATATTTGAATTGGGATTCAAATCCATAACCTAACCGTTGTTAATGACACCAACAATAGCTATGTTTCCATCCAAAGATGCGAATTTAACTCATGCGCAAAACTGAACATCACATAAAACATTTGCAAATAAAGCACCGTTTCCATCCAACGGGTCAAAGAGAACAAAATCGTCACTTCCTGATAAACTGGCACTAAATATCTCTAAGAAAACTAGGAGAAGCCACTTAATATAATAATTTTCATATATGATAAATTACTTGCACTTCAGAGAGAGCAGACGAAACACAATAAATGCGGTCATTGCTTTTAGAGGTGGATGCCTGCTGTTTGGGAACGCAGTCGTGTAAGACAGTAATTATACAGAAATACTTTGATAACAGACTTTCCTCAGGCATTTCAGAGTGACCAAAACAACATATAGATGCTGTGAACGAGATCGGTCCACTGGTTAGTCAATTTATCCCATCTCATAGCGCAAAGTCACATGACTTTTTCAATGCACATGGTGGAATTTATTTGGTAAATGTGTTTCCATCGTAGTTTATGCACATTTTTTCTTATCGGATAAAAAGTTTATCCTCTCAGTTGTGCGCATAAATTTTTTATGCACATTTTTGGAATTTATGCGCATCTTGACGTTTCCATTCAGCGGTTTTTTATGCAACAATCCAAAATGAGCATAAAAATAGGTGGATGGTAACATGACTATGATAAGGTTATGGATTCCCAGGGAATATGAAAATTGTGCCTGCACAATGTCTATCAAGCAAAGATATTTTAGTATTATTTATAAACTCTTACAGTATTGATCAATATTTTGAATTAGCTTTTATTTTTTATATTTTTAGGTTTTTTATTTTAATTGTAGTTAATGTTTTGGTATTTTTGTTCTTTTGCCAATTATTATTTTAATCTTTATTTTATTTTGATTTCAGTTTTAGTCATTTTAGTACTTTTAACTTATTATTTCAGCTAGTTGCAGAGGCAACAGTTCTAATTTACATTTAAGTTTTTAAAGTTTCAGTTAGTTTTTTGTCATCTAATATTTATATTTATTTTATTCAAGCTTTATTTCAATTACTGAATTTTTTTCTATATTTTTGTCAATAATTAATTTTTCTTATTACATTTACAACACTCCTCTCAAATAAATAAATACAAAACTGACATCAAAACAATTGATTCACAAGTTACCATCATTGTGGTCCATTTCAGATTCAGTCCTTGACTCAGAAGATTTGGGAAATGAAGGGTACAAAGCAACGAACCAAACTGAAGAGAGTTAAGAAGTCACATGATGCCAAGCTCGATGCGCTGACTGAATCCAAAATGTCATCAAAGTCAGATTTCAAAGCCAACCTGAAGACAGTAAAGAAAGAAGATGAGAAGGTAATGCATTTTATCTATGTTGGCATATAAATTCATTCATCATTTAGATAAATCAAAGCTCATTCTAAACCTATATTTATATTTGTCCCATTTATAGAAAGAAGAGGTGACTGACTGGCGGAAGAATGTGGAGGCTATGTCTGGAATGGAGGGCAGGAAGAAGCTGTTTGATGCTGGACAATAAAAATGTTACAAAGTAAACTTCTGACTTGACATCCAGCACATTTACCTACCAAGCTTGTAAAATTCAGGGTTGACGTTATTTTTTACTTCTCAGACTCTGTAACAAGAAATGTGTACCCAGACGAGAAGGCTTCTAACATAAATGGTTGGAAGCAAGAAAATCCAAACTGTACAAATTTGATTTCTTGTGACTAATAATGTCAATTAAACACAGAAAAACGGTTTATAATGTGCATATAGGTTTAAGTGTTTTTGTAGGTGACCTTAGCACTTAGTTTGTCCTTTGCTGCAATTTGTGGACAGATTATGTTTCGATGCGTCTGAAGCCAAATTTGATATTTTGTGTATGAAATGTTAAATATTCATAATAATATGCATGAGATTTATAATCAGACTGGAAATGAATCGAATGCACTGTTGTGAAATAGTGCTGTTTAGGAATAAAAGATGTCAGCTATTGTAACACTTTCTATGCTACTGAAAGTAAAAACTGCAATGTAATGCCATTCCAAAATTAAATGAACCCATGCACAAAGAAACACGTTGTGTCACTGTGCAGTTCCTTTGCAAAACAAACGCTGTCCTTGAAATGCATTGCTACACTTGGTTGTGTACCTTGCGAGTGCATAACTGCTTTTAAGTTACCACATGCTTTGTGTATATTTACTCAAATTCAATGCAGCGATGGTATCATTTATTTGCATTTCAAACTATTTGGAAATCCATTGGAAACCTACTGGAAATGTAAACAAGATTGGAAGTATAAACGAAACAAGTATAAAACATGAAGAGACAACATATACACTGATTCATATCTTCATATCAGTTTAATATGTTGTTCCATATTAAACTGCTGACTGAAGATCTTGAATAAAAGGTAAATTTTTTCAAGCTAACTAGACAATCACTTTCATTTACAGTACAGAAGAGGTCATAAGGCTATGGCTGACTTCAGCAAAGCCTTTTCTGCCTTGTAGGGTCAAACAACGTGAAATGAAGAGTGACTGGCAGTGGACAATGTGTGCAATTGTGTTTTGATGGTGCTGAGTAAAATGAGCCTCAGGGTGTAAGGCTTCAGTCTATTTTAGTGAGCCACTCAGAGGAGGCCAAAGAGGCCATAAAATTTGCCTGGGTTTTCTTGTGCACTGACATTGTCACACTCTCATTGCCTTGGAGTGGTCTTTGGAGGAACAGGTATGAACTATTGCACTATTTGTCACCGTTAACTGTAAAACCAATGCATTTAATTGCTCTAAAAATTACCTATGAAATATATAACTGCTGACATCAAATTAATGCGTAGCATAGCTCAGCTAGTTTGATCTTTAAAAGCTTTGATGAGACATAGCTGGTTACAATGCTGAGATCTCTTCTGAAGCCAAAGGATATTAAAAGTCTCAATTTGCACCTCATTTAATCTCACTGCTGTCTAGGAGAAACAATTGAGAATTTCTTTCTAAATCTGGTTTATCCATCAGAAATGGATTTGTGTGTGATGCTGAGAATGGGTGCTAAAAAATGTATAATGCATGGTTTGTTAAAGTGTCATGTGCTTCCAAAATACTACTTATGAAGTGAATTCTAGTAATAATAACTGTGCTTATGAGTCACCAATCTTTATATTTCAGATTTTGACTAGTGATTTACACCAGATTAGTCATAAAAAGGAAGTACTTAGAAGCTCACAATGTCTGAGTCGTAAGTATTCTAACTTTTAGACTTTTAAGTTGTTAATATCTATTTCTTGCTGTAAACGTACGTTTAAAACATGCCTACTTTTATTTCTTTTCATAAATTGAAAATTGCCAATTTAGACAGGTAAGTGGATTTTATTACTTTAACTTTTTGTATATGGCAATATAATTTTTCCCCCGAACAAAATCCGATTGCACTTAATTCTTGCAGCGACCCAAATCGAAGATCTCGGCATCCAGGAGGTTGTTCTTAAAGGTATTTGGTTCTGTTCGTTTTACAGAGAAGATATAATTCCTGAAGATGATGCATCTAACAATACCTTCTGACATGTTTTGCTTCAGACAAAGCTGCTGAAGAAGGCAACCTCTATGCTTGTGACTGAAAAAGAAGAAAAGCAGAGGGAGAGAGAGACCACCTTGCGTGAGAGAGTGCCACCTCTACAAATGTCTGGTCTGTCTGTTCAAGAGCTTCAGGTAAACCTAATTCAAAAATGATACTTTTAATTAATTTAAATAAATAAACAAATAAACAAACAAACAAACAAACAAATAATAATAAATATATATATTTAATTAATTAAAAATTTTAATGAAAAAAAATAGGTATTCAATTCATTTTTAATTATGTTTTCATATTCATTACATGATGATTTGGTGCAAATCATTAATTCAGATGATGGTGCTAATTACTTTTTAATTTGATTCATTAAAAAAATATCTTTTCAATTAAAAAGCGCATTTAAATTTCTACGATTATTATTTAAGAATTGGTGCCACCTGTACGGAACATAAATGCTCAAAAAATGTAAAGAATTGTAGCTTCATTGATTTTCTAAATCTAAAAATAGCATTAACAACCGCATCGGTAATTTCCCAAGGTCATTTTATTGGTACAATACTTTGTTTTCAGGCTCTCTGTAAAGACCTCCATCAAAAGATTGATGTTGTAGATGAAGAGAGGTATGATATCAACGCCAAGGTGGCCAAAAATGAAAAGGAGGTACTACACCACCACCATTTATCTTATTACGTCGATTCAATGAAAATACACTTTATGTCGATTCACTATAATAAATGCACGAGTCTGCTTCAGATTGCAGATTTGAACATGAAGATTACCGAACTTAGAGGTAAAATGAAGAGACCTGCACTGAAGAGGGTGAAGATCTCTGCCGATGCAATGTTGGGTGCTCTTTTGGGCTCCAGGGTCAAAGAGTCTGTGGATTTCAAAGCCAACCTCAAGACAGTCAAGAAAGAAGAGGAGAAGGTAAGTCATGTGACAAGTCATGTATCATGTAATGCATATGTATTTTCGAGCTATTTTAACACATACCTGTTGTCACACCTGTTCCTCTCACAGAAAGAAGAGGTGACTGACTGGCGTAAGAATGTGGAGGCCATGTCTGGAATGGAGGGCAGGAAGAAGCTGTTTGATGCGGGACAATAGAAGATACATTTGAAAAACTTTATGGTTTGTTTGTTAATTATCTTTTGATTGAGAACGTCTTACTTCAAATATTTGACCTACACTTTAAGCACTGAATTTTATTTGTTTTCTTTCAGGTGACAACTACACCAGAGTTAATAAACTTCTTAAAATGAATGTATAAAGCAATGCAAGTTCATATAACACATATATCCTATTGTAATAATAGCTTGGGGTTAAGGTTTAATATTTTATTTTAGTTAAAAAGAAACTGCATACAAGTTATTTAGGCAAGAAAACAGTGTCTGAAACTTACTTGATGTCTACTTGATCTACTTGTTTCAATGATGCTGAGCCCATTTTCTGTCTTAAAAATAAAAACACAAAGAAAGCCTAAATATTTTGCCCCTTACTTAAAAAAAAATGCAACAAAAGTGCCTGCAACAAGGACTGACACTTAGGACTTCAGATCAGAAGACCTCTGGAAATGTTTGGATACAACAGCCCTAACTGTAGCAGAACCTGAAGGCTCTGAACTTGCCATGCACTTTTATCTACCGGTATTTGACCTCACTTCATAACAGGCCTAACACAACTGCTGTCTCCCAGGAATACCTTCAGTTGTTCTAACATCAATCAACGATAATTGTAAATTTGTTGAACTTAAAAAAAAATACATGCACTTTAAATAAGTTATTTAGGCAAGAAAACAGTGTCTGAAACTTACTTGATGTCTACTTGATCTACTTGTTTCAATGATGCTGAGCCCATTTTCTGTCTTAAAAATAAAAACACAAAGAAAGCCTAAATATTTTGCCCCTTACTTAAAAAAAAAATGCAACAAAAGTGCCTGCAACAAGGACTGACACTTAGGACTTCAGATCAGAAGACCTCTGGAAATGTTTGGATACAACAGCCCTAACTGTAGCAGAACCTGAAGGCTCTGAACTTGCCATGCACTTTTATCTACCGGTATTTGACCTCACTTCATAACAGGCCTAACACAACTGCTGTCTCCCAGGAATACCTTCAGTTGTTCTAACATCAATCAACGATAATTGTAAATTTGTTGAACTTAAAAAAAAATACATGCACTTTAAAAGCTTTTCAAACTAAATCACTCATTTAATTTTGTTATTAAAATGTCCCAAAAAACTCTTTAGTAGACCAACTGAAATCGTGCCAGTGCAATTTCTGCAACGTCAGACTAACAGACCTTGATACATGCTAACTAACAACAATTGCCATTCAATTTTAATGGTTTAAGTTTAAATGTCAAAATTCAGACTTTTTTTCTCAGAATTGCGAGCTTATTTCTCACTGTTGCAAGTTATATACTTGTAATTGCGAGTTTATTTCTTTGACCTTTTTTTCTAAACATTACAGTATGTGTTTACATGTCGATTCTGTTTTGTTTGTTTCCACCATGGAATAAAAAAAATTGCAACTTTTTATGTCACAATTCTAACTTTTTTCTCTCAGAATTGTGAGATTATTTCTCACAGTTGCAAGTTATAAAATTGTAATCGCGAGTTTACATCTTTTACATCTGACCTTGTTTCTCAGAAATCTGAATTTTCATTTAGCAATTTTGACTTTTTCTGAGAATTCTGCATTTACATCTCCCAATTCTGTTTTGATTGAAAAAAATAGCGTCTGACAATTCCGACTTTTTTCTAAGAATTGCGAGTCTCTCACAATTCTGAAGGGAAAGAAGTAAGAATTGGGAGTTGAAAATGTTTTTCCTATGACATTTTCTGTTATACAAGTTGTTTTTTTTACCTTTTTCTAAGAATCTGTATTCCGCAATTCTGAGGGAAAAAAAAGGAATAATTGTGAAATTAAGTTTTTTTGTTTGTTGTTGTTTTTCTATGACATTTTCTGTTATATGACTTATTTTTTTCACTTTTATTCTAAGAGTCTATACCTTGCAAAAAAAGTTTATATCTCACAATTCTGAGAAAAAAAGCTATAATATCAGAATTGCGCAATTACCTTTTTTTATTTTGTGATGGAAAACTGAAGCAATAAACAAACAACTATGATCCAATGATCCAATCAATTCCTGATGGACAAAAAAGTCCCGGCCTACATTTTTTCCACATGGATAAACGTCACAACAGAGAAGACAGATGAAGACTGTAACTGGACTACACACACACACATACACATACACACACAAATAAAAATGCTGTAGCTTGAATATAAGTGCAAATATAAACATATTTAATGTATTTTATAATTTTTTTTATCTCTTAATGGCCAGCTATAATGATATTTCCATCCAGAAAAAATATTACTATCATAATATTATATTAAAAAAAAACTGTATATTGCAACTTTCATATGAACACCAAATGCTCTCAGAAAAACAGGTACACAAGCTGTCACTGGGGCAGTAACTTTTCAGAAGATACACCTTTGTACCTAAAGAATCCGTACTGTGGCCATAAAGGTACATATTAGTACCTAAAGTGTACATATTAATACCTAAAACTTACCGCCCCAGTGACAGCTTTTGTATCTTTTTTCTGAGAGTGTACAAAGCCATTTAAAGACAAGGACTTCTTGCATTTGGCATCCAATCATCTGGCCATAATGCCTAAAAATAAATCCAGCACAAATGGCAGGTGGTAATTCACTACATATCTCTTGGAGTGTCACCTCTCAGGAAGAATGAGGTGTGACGGGGGCAGCTCGCATTACATTAAGACAGTGCTTCCACCTGCTTGCTGCCCTCTAAACCCCAGAAATTATTGATATCACATCGTCTCCTGCCAGCTATTGGTCGCTTAATGTGCATGGAAATTATCACGTTCACGAGATAGCTGTCATAGCATAACATCATATCATGCAATTAACTGGCCGAGATACAACTATTTGAAAATCTGGAATCTGAGGGTGCAAAAAAATCAAAATATTGAGAAAATCACCTTTAAAGTTGTCCAAATGAAGTTCTTAGCAATGCATAGTTTTCATATATTTACAGTAGGAAATTTACAAAATATCTTCATGGAACATGATCTTTACTTATCCGAATGTAAATGTACAAATATCCAAATGGATTTGGGCATAAAAGAAAAATCTATAATTTTGACCCATACAATGTATTTTTGGCTGATGCTACAAATATACCCCAGCGGCTTAAGACTGGTTTTGTGGTCCAGGGTCACATATGAGTACAAGTTAGTTGTACCTCTTATAGACTGTAATTTCCACTCAATTTATTTCTGTTATGACCAGCATCACCTTTAGACCTTTGAACTGGTCATCAATATGGTTTTGGCCACCAAAAAGAGGCATTCAAACCGGTCCACACTGCATAGCTGCATGTCTCTGTCCAAATGAAAGTTTTACTACGCTAGTTTACTGTGTGAACAGTAAATGTCAGTAGAGTGGCACAGACAGGCGTCTATTTTAGTGAGACGTTCCCATGTGTGCTGAAACTATAAATCTAAGGATTTTCTTCTTTCCTCTGTCAGCCAGTTAACTCGCACTGCTGTCTTTTCTTCATCAAGCAGGTATGTCTCTTTCAGTGGTCATAAGAGGCTAAGGGCTATGTGTTTGGTTATTTGCAAATGCATCGTTATTCAGTTGTTAGAAGGGGTTATAGATTAGCTGTGATGGTAAAGGATTTATTTATTATTTATATAAAACTGGTAAGAAATTGGGCACAGTTGCATTCAAATGTCTCTCAAATTGGTGACAATCCTGGAAGATTTTCACTTATGCTAAAACTCACAGACGCTATGCACAGAACTCCTACCGCTGTGTAGAGGACTGATAGGTCAAATGGATGGATTAAAGGGTCTGATTACCAATGTCATTAATGAATTAGAATTAAGTTATGCATGACCTTTTAAGGATTGCATAATTGCTACATTATATTAAACATGCAAAATTTGGTTTTGTTTTGAGTTTTTAATTTTTAATTTATTTTTGCTGTGCTATTAAACTTTTTCTGGAATTGTAACTACAAAAGTAGCTTGAAATTTAAATATGATGATTACCCTAGTGAAAAATAAATATACTTAAAAGTATTCAAAATACATTTATTTCATGCTAACTATACTACAAATACATTTACATATTTATATACTTAATAAAAATACCCTGAAATTGTACTTTTGGTATACTAAACTGGTAAAGTCTGCTCAATTGGAACAACTAATGCACTTTGTGCAGAAGTAGTGCTGAAGTCCAACTACAGATATACTGAAGTATTTTTGATTGTGCTATTGCAAGTATACTTCAGGTACACTTTAAATATCTTGCATTTAAAGACCAATATTATTCAAAGGTCATACAATCCTCATCAATAGTGACATTAAAACACATTTTAGGCTTAATATTAGGAAATGTGCATTATGCACAAGTAGTAATCCAAATAAAGTTTAATTATAATTTTTCTGTCTGTAAGTCTCGAGTGATATGTCAGTAAATATATTTATAGATTTAAACTATATTAGTATGAAATAGATGTATAGTATTAAATTATTTTTTACTAGGGTAAATATGTTTGCATATGATAGTCAACTAACAAGGTCTAATGCATCTGTTAAGTGATCACTGTGACTTGCAATAGCACATCAGAAGGTTCCAACATTCTCTTTAAGTGACTTTGTATGTAATATAAAACACTGATTTTCTTTGTCAGGTCATAACACCATACTAGACAACCATAGGATCAGTGTTCATTAATTAATAAATCTGAAATAAAGAAATAAACATTAGAATTGTTGCCTTAGTAAAATAAAAGTTAAATTTAAAGTAGGCTACTAAAATTCCCAAAACTAAAACGGAAGTTAATATAAATTAAACAAACTAAATTAAAATGAAAATAAAAATAGAAAAATTATAATTCAAAATACTACTAAATACTATAAAAGTATCTAAATACTAAAATCGCACTGCATAGGATATGGGTCAAATGCTTGTTATCTTAAATATTCTCATGTTAATTTCCTAATATGTGTTTCAGAGTAGAGATGATTTTAAAACAGTTATTTTATTTCACAGATAACTGAGAACTGGATGT